ATATATATATATATATATACACTGTATGTGTGTGTATTTACTTATACATAATAAATATATACTGTACACACACACATATATTATATAAACAAAAACTTTTATTTTGGATGCGATTAACCGCAATTAATTGTTTGACAGCACATATATGGCAAAATATGTGAATGTTTAAATTGTATATATATTTAAACATTCACATATTTTGCCATTTATTCTTAAATATATATATATATAGATAGATATATATGAAGATTTAAGGAAAAAATGGCAAAATATGTGAATGTCCAAATTCTTTCTTCTGCTCTCTATCTATCTGATAAACTGGAGCCTATCAACATCAACAATTCATATGGATTTAGTTTTTAAAGAAGCTATTTGTCTCCGCTCTCAGCTCAGGAGATCATCACCTCTGTTTTCAGTGACACGCGGCTGCGGTCTGCGTGTGTTTGTGTCGGCAGGCGGGCAGATCTCCAGACACAGGCTCTGTAGTGTCGGACAGGCTCTCAGCACGCTCATCAAGTGTGTGTGACCGCTGACGTGACTTACACTGAGAGCCGTCAGAGAGCAGCCGGGGTCCAGAAACAACCGTCTGAGAGCCTCCACCAACACTGACATCTCCCGCTCACTAACCAGCCCTGCTTTGACACACAAACACACATGTTCAACAAGTAAACTATATACTGATCATTTAAAAAAGAATGATAAATAAAATAATATAAGTTTGGGGTCTGAATGATTTTATGCTTTTGAAAGAAGTCTCTTTTGCTCATCCAGGCTGTATTTGTGTGATTAAAAATGCAGTAAAAACAGTAATATTGTAAAATATTATTGTAATTTAAGATAACGGTTTTCTATTTGAATATATTTTAAGATGTAGTGATCAAAGCTGAGTTTTCAGCATCATTCCTCCAGTCTTCAGTGTCACATGATCTTCAGAAATCAGTATAATATGCTGATCTGCTACTCGAGAAACATTTCTGATTATTATAAGTGTTGAAAACAGCTGTGTTTTAATGATTTAAGTCAATTGTGCTCAATCATTTTGTGGAAAGCACGATAAAAAATTATCTTTAAGTTTAAAAGGCAGCATTTATTTGAAAAAAAAAATCGTTTGTAACATTATAAATGTCTTTACGGTCACTTTTGATCAATACAATGCATCCTTGTTGAATAAAAGTAAAAATAAAACAATAATAATAATAATAATACAAAATTAAATTAAATATATGGATATTATGATCAATTGAATTCATCCTTGGTGGATAAAAGTAAACATAAATAACAATAATACAAAATTAAATTAAATATTCGATCAATTTAATGCATTTATTCTGAATAAAAGTATTAATTTCTTAAAAAATGTAATCAACCAATAAAAATAAATGTCCATTGGTCATGTCATTTTCACTAATAAGGAATTAGATTTAGTAGTTTGCTCTAAAAACCAGAATAAAATAAAATGAAATAGTAATAAACAACTCAAATAAAATAAAAGCCTTACTGACCCCAAACTTGTAATGAGAACCATTTATAAACCTGTTGTCCACCAAAAGCTAGAGCTGATATCGAGCTGTCAGCATGAACTTACAGTCACTGTGGAGATGCAGCGTGTGAAGACACAACCACGTGGGCAGGACACGTGACACTGTGCTCATGATTTCACGTTTGGACACTTCCAAATCGAGCGCGTGGATCTGACCCTCAGGGCAGCGGTCAGCAGAGCTGCTTGAGGACGACACCTCGGCGCACAGAACCTCTGGGTTTCCCTCCACGTCTAAGACGAGGCGTTTGGCAGCGGGTTCCTCCAGATCTGCTCTACACCTCCAGTCGATATCAATGCCGTCAGCGTGGGACGTCTCCGGAGCGGTGGACACCGTTAGCTGAGGACCTCTGCGTCTGGACATGAGCCAGCTCAGAAAAGATGAATCTGGATTTCTTCTCAGAACCACTTCTCTAACAGAGCCGTGATCCAGGAGCCGGTGGAGGATAAACAGCACGTATTTCCGTCCGTGTTTGAATAGCGATTTCACGTCCAGTAATTTGAGGGACGTCACTCTCGTCTCTAAACTGCTCAGGATGGGCCGCAGGTCCCCGGACGCCAGCCTGCAGATGTTTCTGGTTGATGTGTGGAGAGAAAGGACTCTGACGTGTTTTACGGTCATGGAGAGAATGGAAGAATCGCTGAGGTCGGAAAGGTACGATCCTCTCCGTCTGACCTGAGTGAACAAGACCATGTGAAAGAGCCGTTCCAGACATCGCTGCTTCCAGTCCTGATCGGGCAGCGCTGACTGAAAAAAAAAAACAGTACACCAGATTTCAGGTTTAGTGCACTTGCTCACAACATGAGTCTCATAAAATACACTAAAATAAATTCAATGTTTATTACCCATGTCACTTATAAGGAATTTGACTTAGTAGTTTGCTTTGAAAAAACTGAATAAAATAAAATAATAATACCAAAAAAAATTATTATAAATAAATAAATAAAGGAGCAATGGAATTTTTTTTTAAATTAAAATAATAAAATAAATAAATAAATACACTAAACATTTGACTTCGCAGTCTGCTCTGAAAAGCCTGAATAAAATAAAATGTAAAAAAAATAATAATAATAATGTAATAAAAAAATTATAAAAGAAAAGTAATAAAAATTACACAAAAATTGTTGTTCTAGTAGTTTGCTCCAAAAAGCCAGTATAAAATAAAATAATAATACACAAATAATAAATATAAATAAATAAAAAGGTGTATTGGAAATTTTTTTTTTAAATTAAAATAATACAATTAAATTAAATTAATAAACAACACACAATAAATTGGATTAAGTAGTTTGCTCTAAAAAGCCAGAATAAAATAATATAATAATATACCAAATAAAATACAATAATTTACTGCCCATGTACAGTAAGTTGTAGTTATAAGGAATCTGACTTGGTAGTTATTTCTAATAAAATAATAATACATTCAATTACAATAATAACAACAAAAAAATACAAATAAAATGAAATAAAACAATCATTTGTTGGGCATGTAAGCTGTTAGGAATTTGACTTCGTAGTCTGCTCTGAAAAGCCTGGATAAAATAAAATGTAAAATTTTTTTATAATAAATTTAATAAAAAAATAATAATAATGTAATAAAAAAATAATTATAATAATTAGAAGAAAATAAATAAATAATTATAATAAATAAATAAAAGAAAAGAAAAGTAATAAAAATTACACAAAAACGAATTTGTTCTAGTAGTTTGCTCCAAAAAGCCAGTATAAAATAAAATAATAATACACAAAAAATAAATGATAAATAAATAAATAAAGGTGTATTGGCCATGCATGTTGCACTTCTAAGGAATTTGACTGAGTAGAATAAAATACCCCCCGCCCAAAAAAATAAATAATCATATAAATTGTATAGAATGAAAATATGAAAGTTAACAAGTGCAAGAGACGCAACAAATGCACTGAAAGACAGCGTCCTGATATTCGAAGCATGTTCATCAAACATAACGACAGTCGTGCTTTTATTCAGCAGCAATGATCTTCTGATGAAGAAGAACAAACCTTCAACCTCCAGCGCCACGTCTGGTCCAGATCTCTCCATATCCCTGCCCAAACTACAGCGCTGGAGATCCCTGAAACAAGCATCAGGGTTCACTGTTAAATGCGACACTCTGACTGTATTAGATGTCACTAATATGAGAGTAAGAGAAATGTGATGAAGCTGTACTGTACCTTTGCTGGCAGCAGCAGCTTCAATCCTGTCCAGATAATAAATGTTTAGATGTGGCAGCAGGTCTTTCAGGAGAGACACAGGCAGAACTACATCAAGACAGATGGACAGAATATTAGAAATGTCAAACATCAGATCATTTATGCTCATAAACTGCAATGAAGTTCATTCCGTTCAACGTTCAGTTGCATGCGTATTCTTGGTTTGTGATTAACAGGAACATAATTGTGCTGTATGTAAAACTCACTCGAAACCTTTCTTTCCAGCGCATGCATGTTCTGAGCTACTTTGACGATGCACATTCGCACCAACGAGCTTCCATCTGAGAGTCCCATCTTTACACGAGACGAGCTCCAGTGGTTCTTCTTCTTCTTCTTCTTCTTCTTGGGTTTTAACGGCGGCGGTGAGCTCCAGTGGTTCTTCTTCTTCTTCGCTCAAGTGTTTTACTGTTGTGCTTCCGCCATGTGTTTGGAAAATAAAAACGCATTAGAAGGAAATATCGGGCATTAAAAGTAGTGGTTCGTCCAGGGGGCGCTCGGCGGCTCAGAAAAAGCTGAATCTTTCATTACAGCTGCATTGTATCATTATAGGTTTTTTCTCCCGCTTATTTTGGAAATTTAAACAGAACATGGTAATCTTTCAAATTTAAATATTCCAATAATTAATGCCTTATCGACAAATTGAAAATAATTTTATTTAAAAAAATAAACTTAAAATTCGTTTCTGGTAATCGCTAACAACTACGATTAGCTCAATCTGGCCAGCGCAAAGAAAATAAACAGATACCACGGGACAACACATTTTTTTTTTATAATTTAGATCTGATTAATAACTTAAATATTCATTAAAATAAAAAAAAATGTGCCTTCTAATTCTGACAGTTTAAACCACCTTTTTCCGTTCTAGCTGCTCAATTTCTACGAAAGAACGCGCCAATTGGCTCAATTTTTATCGATTCTAACTTCCGGTCGCTGAAGTGGCCAATGAAACACGCAGTAGCGGTGCAAGTCCCGCCCAACAGAGCACATCCGATCAGAAAACACTCCTGCGATATTTACTGATTGATAAAAACAAATAAAACTGAATTTTTCAATTTTACAAAAAACCGTTACTATTTTCATTTGTTCTTGTATGACGAGCATCTTGTTTTGTATCAAAAATGTTCCTTAATGCTTAACTTAACCAGATAGCTTTTACCTGCAGTGTACACTTATGATCTTTGTATACTGTTGATGCTCATTTGCGCTTTAAATTCCCAACAGCCAAGGTATGGCAATAAAGTAATGAAAACAGCAGTTGTCTTTTCTTCTTTATTGTTATTTGTTGCATTAGCAATAAACCCAAATGTATGCCAACATCACCTCTTTACTGATCTCAACGAGAGATGGAAACAGAGCAGTCATTCACACTTCAGCAACACACATGATTTGAAGAACCTATGGGTTACGATGAATTGTTGAATCTGGGACAGAAATCAAAGCTTATATACATAACCGGGCACTGGATTTCTGTAAGCAGACATCGATTCATAACCAGCGCGGAGATGCTCCGTTTATTTGATCGACTGGAAAACCTTGTGAGCCACCTGCAGAAAACAAAACAGAGCTATAATGAATAATGTTTACAAAAAATATTTTAAACAGTTCATTCAAAAGCAAAAATTCTGTCACACAAATTAATCATTTTTGGAGAATCTTTCACAGAAAAAAAATATAGCAGCATACAAGTTTGGTATGACAAACGAGAGAATAAATATTGATAGAATTTATATTTTTGGTTAAACTACTCTTTAATATTAGGTGTGGGACTTCAAACCACATCTGTAAACAAGACACCAGGGGCCTGTACCATGAAGCCGGATCAGCTGGCTAGCCAGGTAAGTTTCAGTTTAGTTTGCACCAATCCTGGGTTTTAGGTACCATGAAAGAGGCTTGGCTTTTAGCTGCGTTCATTGCCTTAGTAACTTACACTCCACAGATAACCAGCTCCGCGCGGGTTATGTTCTGAGTTAGAGATCTCAAACTGAAATTGGACCAATCAGATGTGAGCACAGTGACACATGTCTGACACAAAAAAAGTCACTCCCCCAGTTTCTGTTGCACCAAAATAAAGGTCTCTAGTACTAAAAAAAAAAAAGTTTGGCTTTAATGATAATTACTTGAGTTATTTCATATTATTTATATTATTATTAATCCATCACACAAGCAATTTTAGTTTAACAGTTATTATAAATCATTTATTTTAAATGAATGTTTATATATATATATATATATATACAGATCGTATGTAATATAAATAAGCTGTAGAATCAATAGATAACGCTTTGCATGACCTTGCATGTTCGAGTCTCTATCGCTGTATATTTCCAACTATGTAAACTAACTTAAGTTTCACTTGTGACTGCACTGATAAAGCAAGATCATTTCTTTTATTTGTCCTCTTTCGTGAACAAGTACTTTTTTCATTGTAAATGCATATGTTCTTCAATCTCTTAACCTAACCTTTAACCAAGGCTCGTGATTGGCTGTTCGCCAGTGATGTCACACGCGAGTCACACATCAAAGCCTGAGTTGACACAGAAAGTTGATGATCAGCATCATGGTGCCAACAACGCCGGATTGGAGGGGTTTGGTTTTGTCAACTCGAAACTAATCCTGTAACTCTGAATTTGTTCATCTACCATCATGGTACAGGCCCCAGCATCTTGGCAAAATCTAAACCGCTCCAGCAATCACTGACATCTAACATCCACAGGTTCGGCTGAGCATCAGCACTCACACAGTGGTCACGAGCGTGCAGGAAGTCAAAGAGCTCCTCTGTACACTCCTCTGTCGTCTCCGAGCGTGAGCCGATCCGTGTCTCGCACGCCTCGAGACGCTCACGAGTGTGAACGCAATGCTCCGTCTGCTCACACTTCTCACGCACCGTCTCTAACGGGTCCTGAGGAGTAAATATTCAACCATATTCTTCATCAAACTCAGTATGCATGGACATCAAGACATTATGAAGATGCACATAATCTACAGCAGTGCTGTCCAAACTCAGTCCTGTAGGGCCGGTGTCCTGCAGAGTTTAGCTCCAACCCTAATTAAACACACCTGAGCATGCTAATCAAGCTCTTACTAGGCACAGAAACTTCCAGTCAGGTGTGTTGAGGCAAGTTGGAGCTAAACTCTGCAGGACACCGGCCCTACAGGACTGAGTTTGGACAGCACTGCTGTAGATTATGTGCATCTTCATAATGTCTTGATGTCCATGCATACTGAGTTTGATGAAGAATATGGTTGAATATTTACTCCTCAGGACCCGTTAGAGACGGTGCGTGAGAAGTGTGAGCAGACGGAGCATTGCGTTCACACTCGTGAGCGTCTCGAGGCGTGCGAGACACGGATCGGCTCACGCTCGGAGACGACAGAGGAGTGTACAGAGGAGCTCTTTGACTTCCTGCACGCTCGTGACCACTGTGTGAGTGCTGATGCTCAGCCGAACCTGTGGATGTTAGATGTCAGTGATTGCTGGAGCGGTTTAGATTTTGCCAAGATGCTGGGGCCTGTACCATGATGGTAGATGAACAAATTCAGAGTTACAGGATTAGTTTCGAGTTGACAAAACCAAACCACTCCAATCCGGCGTTGTTGGCACCATGATGCTGATCATCAACTTTCTGTGTCAACTCAGGCTTTGATGTGTGACTCGCGTGTGACATCACTGGCGAACAGCCAATCACGAGCCTTGGTTAAAGGTTAGGTTAAGAGATTGAAGAACATATGCATTTACAATGAAAAAAGTACTTGTTCACGAAAGAGGACAAATAAAAGAAATTATCTTGCTTTATCAGTGCAGTCACAAGTGAAACTTAAGTTAGTTTACATAGTTGGAAATATACAGCGATAGAGACTCGAACATGCAAGGTCATGCAAAGCGTTATCTATTGATTCTACAGCTTATTTATATTACATACGATCTGTATATATATATATATATA